TTTTTTTTTTTTTTTTTTTTTTACTTAACCATCTCTGTGGACATATGAACTTCAGATAGTAACCTAACCTTGAGCCTGGGTGCCATGTGTGCTTTGTTCATTTCAGTATGTCTAGCACTTAGCATGCTGATCTGTGCATGCTAGAAATTTACTAAAAACTTGAGGAATGATTAATGGATGGATGAGATGACTTCTGCCACCATGGATGGAACTGGTGTTCTAATTGGTAGACTTCACCTTGGTGGTAGAAGGAATATAAAAGTAGCCATAATCAAGCCCTCCCCCCCCCACCGCAGCAGGGACATTCTGCTTTGTTTTTCTTTTGCCTACCCTACCTGCTATTATTTATCCCTTTGCTTTCAATGCCCTCAGCCTGAATACCTCTCTGCCAAGATTGCCCTGGTCAATGGAAATTCTGTAGGCTGTGGTGAAACAGTGAACACCCATGTTTCCAGATTTTGGTGAATTCCCACTATGTTCCAGGACCCTAGAAGCACTGTTTTAGCACTTGTTGGAGACATAGGTAAATGATCAGGTACTTTGTTTGTACATACTTTTTTTGAATTTGCAATGCCACTCACAGCATACTGAGCTGGAAGCTCAAGGTCTTCAGAGTCAACTCCCTTGCTATGATCATCAGAGTTCACAATGATTGAGGACTTAACTGCTCTCAGATATTTCATGTGTTGACAACCCTGTGAGGTAGGTACTCTTGTTATTTATACTTCACATATGAGGTAATTGAGACACAAAGAGGTCAGGTAACTTTCTCAGGGTCACACAGCTAGGAAATACTAGAACCAAAATTCAAACTCAAATTTATCAGACTTCAAAGGCTAACCAAAGATAGGAAAGGACTTGCCAAAGGTCATTTTGCTGCAGCCTAGCTCTTCTGTCTGTAATTTGTGGTCATGTTTTGCTATGCCATGCTGCTCCTTCAGCTCACACTGTCCCATTCCTTCCAAACATTATTCTCATTTAGAAGCACTTTTCTTCCCAGATGAACCGTGGATTCCTCCAGAGCAGAAATTGCATTATTTCTGTGTTGTCTCCTTCCTGAAGGGTTTGCCCAAGCTTTGCCTTCAGTAAGTAATGACCTGTGATGAGCTTCTTAGCTGTTTCTTGGAGCTTCCTGGAGCCATCCCCCAGTACTACTTGAGGCTCAGAGGTTGGGAGGAACCAGGATGTCGAATTTTGGGTAAGGGGTCATCTCACCACCTGCTTTCTGTTTTGTTCTCTACAACACAGATTGAAGATGGGGGCAAGGCAGCCTTGTCCCAGAAGATGAAAACCGGTGATGAACTGGTGAATATCAATGGCACTCCACTGTATGGATCCCGCCAAGAGGCCCTCATCCTCATCAAAGGCTCCTTCCGGATCCTCAAGCTGATAGTCAGGAGGTAAGGCACAGGGAGATTTTCTGTAAGGAACAGGGACCGCTGAGACCACTTGGTTGGTACTAAAGCCTCAATACAGTTATGTCTCTTATCAGTATCATCAGAGAAAGAGGTGTTTCTCATAAACCAAATTTTGCAGACAGCTGAAGCAGAGTGGCATAGGAGAAAGGGTCTTTGGTTCAACTCATCACACTGCCACATATTACCCATGTTACCTTAGTTCACATCGATGACACTACCCGTGTCATCTTGGTTAAACTTATTTCACATCTGCAAGACTTGGTCTCCCTATTTGCTACTGAGAGAACTAAATGACTCCATACACACCAAGAGCCTATCTAACCTGATGTTCTTCTGTACCCTTCATAACAGGCTGCCACTGCTCAATCACATAGATTTATTTCTTTTTCAAGTTTTTATTTAAATCAATGACACCTATTTAAAGAGACCCTACTACCAGCCATGATAGGCATTCAGGAAGCTGTGGTAGCCTCTAAGATATAAACGCTGCCCTTAAGGAATATATAGCCTGATAGGGGAGAAAAGACACACGTGTGACAAATTAATTAGCGATACATTTTTGAAAAAAAGCAATAAAGGAGATTTCACAGGGTGAAGGGTGATTGTCAAATGGATTGTTCAGACAGAACTTGCTACTATAATTCAAGAGAAAGTACTTCAGAAGAGATTGATAGGGTAAAAGTTCAGAGAGGAGGTGGAATTTGAGCTAAAGGTTAGGTAGAATTAGACAAATAAGACATCAGGAGGAGAAAGGCACTCAAGAGAAGTAGAGTGGCATAAGCAGAAGGAAGGTAAAGACATATTTGAGCATAGTTATGCTGTTGCTACTACATATCTGGTTGTTGGTAAATTTTCCATATGGCTTCTCTTTCATTTTGCTGCTGTATCTTTGCTCTGTACTACTGGAGCTCATACTTCTCCCTTCTATTAGTTTCCTGCATCCTGTATACATGCCTGAGTTTCTCCATCTTAATTATTTTTATTAAAAATATTTTAAGCCATCTTCCCATCATCATACTTTCCCTTCTGGCTACTGCCCCATCTTTCTCCTTTTGTTAATACTTAGTCTCTTAAAAGAAGAGTGTGTACTCACCACCTTCATCTACAGTTTGGCTTTCCACCCACCGCAGTCCGAATTGTGCCTCTAGAACCCCACTGAAACTACTCTGTCAAAAGCTACATAATATTTCCTAATTGTCAAAGTCAATGGATTATTTTCAGTCTTTATCATGTGTGACTGGCATATGACATTTGACATTGTTGCTCTGGATTATGTCCTCCTTGGTGAAATTCTCCTTTCTTGCTTGCACGACACATTTTCTTGTTCTTTTCCTACCTCTCAGCTCATTTTTTAAATATTTCTTTTTATTTCAAGTTTTTATTTAAATTCCAATTAGTTAACATATATGGTAAAATTGGTTTAGGCGTAGAACTTGGTGATTCATCACTTACATACAACACCCAGCACTCATCACAAGTGCCCTCCTTAATACCCATCACCCATTTAGCCCATCCCCTGCCCACCTCCCTACATCAACTCTCAGTTTGTTCTTTACAGTTAAGAGTCTCTCATGGTTTGCTTTTTTTTTTTTTAGAATTTCTTTCAAGAGTAATCAGATTTTTTTAACTTAAATTCAAGTTAGTTAACATACAATATAATCTTGGCTTTTTGACTAGAACCCGGTGATTCATCTCTTACATATGACTCCCAGTGCTCATCCCAAAAAGTTCCCTCCTTAATGGCCATCACCCATTTAACCCATCCCCCCACCCCATCTCCAGCAATCCTCAGTTTGTTCTCTGTATTTAAGAGTCTCTTATGGCTTGTCATCTTCTCTGTTTGACTGATGAATGGATAAAGATGTGGTACAAGGGATACAGGAGTACTGATGCATAGGGGCACTTGTACCC